TAGACTTTAGCAAATTTGGCATTCTTAAACAATTTTTTTTTATTCTACAAACATATATAGATTACTTTTATTATGTTATATCAGAACTTTTTATCGTTTTATTGGCTTAATGGCAATAATTATGATTGTAAACATAAGTAAATGGCATTAAAATCATGTGTAGAAGTGAATCACAGTTGAGCAGAACTGAGTGATAAGCGGGTAGGGATCACGAACATTTTAGTTTTACTAACATAAAATTTTTGTTCGGTCCTCTTCATAAGTATAAGTAAAATAATTGATTTACGACTTCAGTTAATAATTTTCGATATTTGTGAGATAAAATCACATCTTCTTATGAGAACTTAATTCCACATTTTTACGAGGCAGATCAAAAAACTCAGAGCGATCATACCTCACCGTATACCTATTTTTTGTCATAAAAAAGGTTTTCTTATAATAAATTAGCTGTTTGTCGTCAAATTAAGCGATTCTGAGTAACTTTGTCGAACTTTGTGTTAAGCACTGAATTTTTATAAACAATATTTGTGTTTTCGATTTGGAAAAGTGCTTAATATAGAGCTAATTAACGTTTATGTTTTGATTCCTGCGAGTGATTTAGAATATTTTTTTGATAAAACTGAACGTACTCTCGTACAAAATTTGGGTGGCGATTTTTGAAACTATTTCACGAATTTCAAACCACGCCAACGACTTTGAGCAGCCATTAGTTTACAGGTTAACAAGAATATAAATATATAGTACATCTAATATAAACCCAGCCGACCTGCAGTAAAGAAAGGAAGGAACAATGTCATTATTATACTCTGAATTTGCCATGAAAAAGGAAACGCGACGATCGGAGTTGATTTAGCCACGTCTGTCTGTATACGCGAACTATTTCCTCAGCTTCTGAGATATGAAATTAATCTGACCTCAAGAAGCTGCTCATTTATCGAAACCGCCGATTTTAGATTATTATAGAATTCAGCTGCCATACAAACTGGTCAACTAAAATCTAGTCCTAGGCAATGCTACAATCTAAAAGCATATTTTTCGCATCGGTATACTATAACATATAGTTGTCATTCAAACTGGTCGAACAAAATCAGGCTAAAGATCTTTTTTTATCTTTTTGTGCTATAAAAAATGTGAAGGATATTAAAGCTTCGGTGCCGCCGCAGTTAATGTTTTTTCTTGTTTTAACATGTTTTGTTCTTGTTTTTGTTAAAACGCGTTTTAAATAATAAGGCTCTACGTAGTGTGAAACTTCATTTTTCTCATATTTTGATAGTTTATACCTTTAAAAATAACATACTAAAATTTGAAAACGATAACTCAAATCGTTTTTGAGGTATAGCCATTTAAAGAGCAGCCGCTTAGTTCCATCAGTTTATCTTTAAACTCGTTTTTCTCAAAATAGCATTTTTCGATTTTACTGAAGTGATAACTCGAAAACAAATGATCCGATTATCATGATTTTGCTTTTGTTCTGCCTGTTCTGTATATTATTCTACCTACAATGACTTATCGGTTATTATGAAATAATCGAATTTCCAGAAACGACCGAAACTTTGGGTAAAGTTCAACATTGTAAATTTTTTATTTATATTTTTTGATCGGGTTCGATTTGTATGGAAATATCTTCTAGTGTAACGAGAATTTTTTATTTTTAGGTTTCATCCACGGAGAAGACTGGAATCACTGCAGCAGAAAAACAAAGGTCCTCCGTTTTTAGCGCCGTCAGAAATCTCGTGTAAATCAAAAAATATTGTTTTTTTTTTTGAATTCACTGTGTATTCTTGAAATATGTCGAAATATACATTGAAATTTTCAAAACAATCGCTATATTATTTTTTTTTTTATCTTCCAAAAATCGACATTTTTTAGGCTGTCACACTACGTGTGCACGTTAACGTTATAAAATCTTATTATCGATTAATCTTATTCAAACTTAAGCGATATAAACGTGAAGTCAGCACGGTATTAAAAGAAATAAGAAAATCTAAGTAACAGTTAAAGATAGGTGAAGTAACGAAGAAATGACGCAAAAATAGAAATGTTTAGAATTTCTTATAAAATATAGCAGCTGTTCTAAGGTTGCTTAAAATAAAAAGACAATTTCACGGTTTTCACAGAAATAGGCAGAAAGTCGCCTGAACCTTATTAAAAGAGTCAGGCAGTTACATATTGTTTTTAAAAAAATCAATATTATCTGACCCTTGACAAAATATCAACAAAAATGGTCTATTCTTTAAAATTATTTAAGGTTTTTTATTTCGAATTCTACAGTAAACAGTTGTTATTTGTTACATGCAAAAATTGAAATTAAAATTTTTTTTTTAAATTAATATTAATTTATTTTAAATTTGATTAAATTTTATAGAATTTATGATTATGAGTATTTGACAATTGGTGAAAGATTAATACATTCGCGCAAACTTTTGCGAACAAGATTGAACAACTTGCCAAAAACCTGCTCTTTCCGCAACAAAAAATGCGTGCACTTCCAAAAAACTTTTAAAAGAGTAAAAATAACTTAACTACGTGCCCCCCAAGGTCAGATTCATCTAAATAAAATAGAAATTCATGTAATAAGCATGGACCAAACCTCTGTCGAAGGTCATGATTTTTAAACGTTGAGTGCAAACTGTTACTATCGAGCGTGTATATGTAGCACACATGCATACATATACATATATCTGCATAGATATACGCGATTGTATTATATTGTAATTGCCTACATTCTTCTTTATGCACATATGTATGTACATATGTAATATATAATATTAGTTATACACGTGCAACCTTTCAACCATCTATACTGAAGAAAAAAATCAAAATCAAGTTATATGTTTATCTGCATACTTGCAGACATACTTACACACATATTACATATAAATCGCACGCATATTAAGTACATTGCATAACAATTACAACAATATACAAAATGCTTTTGTTGTCGTTGAACTTGTCGAACTATACCGAGACCGGTTTTGATTGAACTCTTTTCGTGGGTTTTTCGTTTATAAATATGTGCTTGGAAGATCACTGTCAGCTCATACATATCACACATGCAAACACGTACAAAACCACATATTTTTTTTTTTTGGTGTCTTCGTCACTTGTCTCCATTCCTTGCTTTAATGGGCTTTTTACACTTTTCGCATTCGTTGACGTCTTGCACAGTTACTCGAAGGTGCGAAGCTTCCTCAGCGCAATGGTGTAATTTAGAGTTATATACCAAAGCCATAAAAAAAGAATAACCGAGAGAAAAGTAGGCAATGCATGCGATGCGATGACGTAATGGTTGACCTTGAGAAAAGTGTGAAAATGTATTGACATTGTGCAAATTTCACTTACATTTACATCAATTTGTAGCAAAAAAGCATTTGAGTTGACAATTTTTTGTAGTACCAAGTATTGTGCAAACTACTTTCTGTAACTTGCGTCACAACTTGAGAATTGTATAGATTCGGAAAATATTAAATAAAAAAGAAAAAAAACGTTACTTTGGCTGCCAAGAAGCTTTAATATCCTTCACAGGTGTATTTTTGCAACTACATGTATAGCTAAATCTGAGAACGTAACCGGTCAATGGTTTTGATTCCGACGGAAAACGTTTTCAGTTCGTTTCAGCCACGTTGCTTGAAATAAATAATCGTGCAAGTCGAATTAAATTTCCTTAATAAGGAAAAAATATATTTTATGAGGACTTTTATCTTGATTATGAGCGGTCAGTGCAGAACATTTTCCGACTCGAGTCAAAAACCGAATGGGCAACACCAAAAAACAAGTTTCCGTGTATAAACACAGACTAACAAAAGTAGGACCCAAACGTTTAAAGATACAAAGAAAGCATTTCATTTCGACGAAACTCAATAAAAGTTGGGTGGTCCATGGAGCATGAGGTAATATTTTCAGTTGAGTGTTATCTCATTTAAGACAAAGCTCACACTCATACAATTAATGTTAATAATATAACTGTCACACTGACTTTGGTAATGATTACAAGTACATGAATATTCTACATTGTCATTAATCAATTCACGTTCGATTCGCACGTTTCTACAAAACTAAAAAAAAAACAATATGAACTGCAATAGCCTTGATAACCTTATTGTCTATATGTGATAACATTAATAACTGTAATATAATTTGATAAGAGAGATGATATGTTAATTAAACAAAATATTGCATATTTAACGAAGAAGCTATTATCAATTTATATACATGCATATTAGGGTAAGCCAAAAACTTAATAAAAAATGTATGGCTTAAAATTAACCTATGTATATACGCAAAAAAGAGTAATCCTGCTAGGAAAAACTTTTTGCTTAATTTTAAAAGGGTGGCATACAAAGTTTCCTATATACTTGTACATACATATGTATGTAAACAGCACGCTTACAATAAAAATACCCTATCTTTTGAACCGTTTAAGATAAAGTTGTTTACATCGCGGATTCTTGTAGAGCATAAAATTTTCTAAAAAAGAGTTTACCTCAGGCAAAATTTTTTCAATTCAAAAATTCTCGTTTAAAAGCTTTGGCAATTATATAGGTTTATTTTAACCCATAAATACAATATTAAATATTTTTCTGGTTCACCCTTATATATATCTAATATATATACATACATATATGTACTTAAATAATAATATATAATATATATAATAATTTATATGCATAACATATAATAAGAGAACGGAGAACCTTCCCGTTGCAATTAAGAGCTCATACTTGGAGAGGCCTCCCTAGTGGTTATCTAAGAACCTATTTTTTTGTGTACCAAGCAAAAAAATATTCGTTTTATTTTGTACCCACTCTAATATATATATATATATAATAATTAGCAAATATAAATTTATTCATTATCATTTTATTACGTTTTGTGGAATCAATCAAAATCCTTAATCTTTTCTTATCATTTCGGAAGTTTCATTAAGAAAAGTTATTAAAATATTATATTAAAAAAAAATGATTTATATAATTTTTTCTTAATATATGCCTTTCTCTCACCTTTTTATTATCCTTCCGTTTGAAACACGTCGCTGCACATAATCCCAAAGTCGGTTCTACGAACTCCACTTGCCGCTCACAGGTTGCGGTTAATTGCGTTCTTATCATATTCTCATATTGATGCATTTTATTAGGCTTTTAAAGTATTTACTTAAATATGTAAAATGAACCACAGCCTGTTTTTTAAGCTAATAAAACTAAGATAATAAACTTTGTGAATACATTACATAGAAACGAGATAATATATGTATATGTACTGTACTTGTATAGGATGCGCCATATTTCATATCGGGATGTAAATTTTATATTTGATTGAGTTGGTGAAATGTATTGGCGTATAAATCTATCCATCCAGGAAAGGCCATTACATGACTACAAAGTGATTGTCCTATTTTTTCAAACAAAACAAAACAGCCGATAGAAATGAATATTGATGGATAATAAATGCTTGAAAAAGGTCTTGATGTCCAAAAAAGTGACAACTTCGCAAAAAGTGCTGATTTTGCTAAAGCTTTTAAGGGACGCCATTTGATTGATCTTATACTCGAAGAGTAGTCCAAATATATTGCTTGGGGCCAAATTAAGTAAAAATACATATTTCATACGTTTTATTATGAACACACCGAAATAAAAGACAGCGCACCCTGTAACGGCACATACAATTAAGTTTCTATGCTAAAGTACACAAAATTATTTTTTTTTTTTGAAAATATTTCTTTTACGCTTTTTCGATAAGATAGCTTTTTGTCAAAACAATGCTGTTGATCAGCGTTTCAAGTGAACATTATTTGTAATTCAAAAATTCATTTTTTTGGTTCAAAATACTTAAGATTTAAATACCCGAAACACCCTTTTAAATAATAACTGTTTTTATCCTGGTGAAAAAAGCAGCAGAATCCATTGAATGTGCAGATGAGACTGAAATGTTGTTTTTGGTATAAAGAACAAGAAAAAAATGTTCTTCTTCGTTTACCCCGAAGCTATAATACTCCTTACAAATAAAAAAAAAAACCATTAAAGGATTAGATTTTGATCGGTCAGTTGCCAAATTTCGTGAAGATATCTCGTCAAAAAAAAAAGTTTTCACACAAGAACTTGATTTTGACCGTTCAGTTGCTATATGCTATAGCATAGTCGCCTCTTGAGGAGAAAAGGACACATTTAAAATTTCAGTTGATATCTCAAAAACTGAAGGGCTATTTCGCATATATACAATATACAAACGGACTTGGCTGAATCAACTCAGCTTGTAACGCTGCTTATGGACATATACATATATTTGATAGAGTCTCCAACGTTTTCTTTTGGATATAACAAGCTTCGTGGCAAACTTTATATACCCTGTACAGCGTATAACTACTTTGATCTGCGTGCAATAGAAATTCAGATTTTTCACCTTACGAAAAAAATCTTGTCTTTTATCATCAAATCATTAGGCAGCAAAATTGCATTTCGATTCCCAGATCACTGACACTTTTATTGTTGAAATTTTATAAATTTATAACTTTTATACACGAGGTGGGTCCGATAAGTTTTTAAACTTGGTATACAATTGAGAACGAAAAGTTGAATGAGAACCAAATTTTTTTTACCTTGCAGTCTAAAAATATATTACAAAACGGTAGCCGATGGCCAATATGTGTATATGTCTATATTTTTGCTAGACCTTTTATATCGGGTGGTGATGACTCGTAAAGTATTTCAACGCAACTGGATATTATATGGGTATTGTGAAAGTTGCCATATGCACAGCCAGAAAGTTTTCAAAGAAGAATCAGCTGATAAGCTTAGTGTGCTGTGTGGGCAGAAGAATTCATTTGGTCCATATTTCTTCAAAAATGAAGCCGGCTATAAGGTTACAGTCAATGGGTAACGCTATAGAGCCATGATCAATGACTTTACAGCCAACAAAACAATCAAATTATTGCACGAAACTTTTGATTAGCGCTTTATTTCGCGTCGTGGGCCTCCAAGATCGTGCCATTTAACACCGCGTGACTATTTTTGGCTTATCTACGCAGATAAGCTCATGTTTTTATTTTTTAATAAATAATTTTTGAATATTTTGTCTATAGGTTTTTACTGCCGTAACTATTATGATCATTCCAATTTATATTCATTCCAAAATGAAATGCTCATTTTGCATAATTTGCATTTGAGAATTGCACAAAAAGTAAATCTTCATATATGTAGGTAATTCAACAAAGTGAGTATAAATTAAATTTATTTTCGCATTGGCATGATCAAAGTGCATACATTTTGACTTTCTGCCAAAGAGGCTACAAAAAAAAGAGACAACTTTCGTAAGCAACGAGTGCAAAAAAAAAATAGATCAAGTTTACAGTTTTTAGCGGCGCTAACAATAAACAATTCGAGAATCAAAAAGTGTGCATAAAATATTTGTTAAATCACGCCAAAACACTAAAAAGCAATTTATTGATTCAAAAATGCAGTTGAATTGTTGGCTTTGAGTTGCAAACAAGAATATTGACACAATTTTTCACTTTTTGGTATTTCGAAATTACATAACTATTTTAAATATTTTTCCACTCACTATAAATTACACACTTTTTCAATTTGCAATACAACAACAGCAATTCAATTGCTTACACGTTTGTAAGTGTTGCCCGAGAAGTTTACAACTGACACTGCTTTATTATTAATTTAACTTTAATTTAACAGCGTCGAGTGACTTGTGATTTCATTAGTACGCCTTTCTTTTAATATTATATTTTACCAATTGTTGTAATTTTTTTTCGCACGCCACGCGCTCTTAGCAACACCGAAGCATCGGCTAACGACTGATTTCTACAGCTTGCTTGCGGACCCTTAGCGCGCATATGGGATGCAATGAATGATCGGCGAAACAGTTGGGGGGAACATTTGCATTTGGGGAGTGGAAAGCCCTACCGGCCGCTTTAATAAATACCGCTGCATTAATATATAATATATAGCTATGTATGTACATATACATATAAATAAAATGTATGTGTGCATATATGTATATAGATATGCAAATATTAGTTTAGAAAATAGATTAAATAATGAAATAAATTATAATGAATGTTAATAAAAACTTTTACAAAAAACTATTCTAATATTATTGCTCCTTTAAAATAAAAGGTCTAAAGTCTCTATCACCGGACGCTTCAACAATTAGATTTTTTTCCACAGTAAACAAACGTAAGTATACTCATACAGTGAGACTTCTTTAACTTGAACACATAAAAAATCAAATGTTCAAAAGTTGTGCTTAAATGAAACATGTATAGTTTGACAAAACTCTTTAAACACAAGAAAAAACCTCAACTTCGGCTGCACCGAAGCTATAATACCCTTCACAGGTGCATTGCTTATAGCATAAATACGCCTTTAAAGAAAGTGCTTTACCTTGTTTTTTATCGGGCAGTTTGTCTTAATATATCCTATCCAAAGAATAACAAAAAATTATGTGAAATGTTATGCACACAAACTTCTACCTTTGACAGATTAATTTGTACAAAATATGATTTCAGATTCCTTTATTAATTCATCTCAATCTTTAGATACATATGTACATGAATATCAAATGTTACCCATTATATAATTTCAAAGAATTTCACGCAATAAATAAAGTTGTCCATAGCCTACTGCTCTTCACACACACTGATTTCTAATAACCCTCTAGTGTGTATGGTGAATAGTGGTGTATTTTTCAAATATACATATGTATATATTTATAATAACTTATAGAACCAACAGCTGTTTTAAAATAAGAAGCCCGCTAGATGTCGCTGCGTAGAGTCTTCTCGAAAACATATAAGAGAGCGATCGAGCTAATTTTTATAGACCTGCAATGATATAGTTCAATTTTGCGGGAGAGAATTGAGAGAATGCTCTAGCCTAAAAAGGAAAAAGCAATTCAGTTTTCCTTGTATTGTAAGTATTCTTTAATTGGCACACCTAGTGTGACAGCCTTAAACAGGTGATTTTTGGGAATTCAAAAAATACTGCGCCAATTTTTTTTTTCAATTTGAAGGATTATATAAACTAATATACAGATTTTAAGAATACAGAGTAAAATTATTGAAGAAAAAATTAAATTATTTATTATTTTTCTAATAACATGCGATCTCCAACACTACTGCAGTGATTTGACCTTCTTCGTATATTAAACTTAAAAAATAATTCTCTACTAGAAGGCACTATTGTCCGTACAATAACCTACGGTAAAAAAAATTTCCGATTGACTAATTGGCAGCGTTTAAAAAATGTTGAATTTTACCCAAAAATTTGGTTGTTTTTGACATGCCAAAATCAGTCAAACAACTGGTATGACTGGTTGAACTGAGCGGCACACTTAGAAAGCTGTAACTCGAGAACTATTTGATATAACTATTTCAAATTTAAATATAGGTATAAGCTATACAAATAAGATTTAATTTTATATTTATATACCCTGAATAGGGTATATTAAATTTGCCACGAAATTTGTAACACCCAGAAGGAAACGTCGGAGACCCTATACAATATGTACATATATAAGTGATCAGCATGACGAGCATTTACAGGTTGGTTGAAAAGTGAGAAATGCCTACCAAGAAATAGCACAACTAGCTCCAATTTTTTACTCAAGTTGGTACATCTGTCGTTAGAGCACATGCAAAGTTACAAGTCACTCTGTCAATTAATTATTTGTTTACAAGCCTTTTGAAGTTGATGTGTCAGAGTATTTTTTTAATATGGAAAAAATTAAATATCGCGCAGTGATTAGATTCTTTGTTTCAAAAGGTTTAAAAGCTCTGAATTCAAACGTGATCGTACGAGGCTTGAAGACGATGAACGCGATGAAAAAGCTGTTTAGAAACTTAGTGCCGCACACGTTAACAATTCAACAAAAACTGAATCGAAAACAAATTGCCAAGCAGAATTAAATCGATTTATTGCTTCGTTTTATAACTATTGGATCTAAAACCGTAATCCTAAATTGAAACAAGAACGTTTGCAGTGGACGGAAGCTGGTTGTTCAGCTCCAAAGCAGGGGAAGTCACTACGATCAGCGAAGAAGTTTTTTTGGAAGCAAAAGGAATTTTGTTGATTGATTATCTGCAGAAAGGTAAAACAATGAACACTGAATATTATTGCAGCATTTTGGATCAGCTGGATGAAAAAATTAAGACAACAGGAGGATCATTGGAATAAATGTATTGAAGTTAAGGGACCAAAAACAGTAATTTTTCATTTCGACACCCAAACAGATGTCTTCAAAAGTTCAAAATTATATATGGTATATAGTACATGATAAAATTTAAGGGGTTTCACTGTAAATTCTGCTTCTATAAAATTTCTCTACATTTTTTTTTACTCACAATTAACACAGGAAAGAGCTTTCACGATGATCAACGATCGCACACCAATTGTAAATACATTTATACGTACATATGTATGTACATGCATATGTGTATATGCAATGTTCGCCAAAACATAGCGAAACGATTCAATACAAAAAAATTCTATGCAAATTCAAAGGGAGTGCAAGAAATACATACATGCATATGTATGTATATATGCATGCTTTACCGATTCGCAATGTGTTTACGACAGCAAGAGCAAATAGTTGCCCTTCACATTGACCATACAAATATTATACAGATATCTTTTGAACCAATACACATACATACATAATCGTATGCATGTAGCTACTTCATAACTTTTTTTTGAATTAATTTAATTTTAAATTTAATTAAATTTATATTTTTTTAATTAAATTTTTATTTATTTTATTTAAGCATTTGAAGCAAATTTGAAATTATTTTTTCTTTCTAAAAATTCTAACATTTATTTGTAGTTGTCATTGTAGTGCCGCTACATCATCAAAATCATCCGTGATTTAATTTTGTGGAATGCTGCCGATTTGACCGTTCTTACTCGGACCCGATTGTCGTGGAAACGGATTTATCTGCAGCAGTAGTGGATGCTACAGCCTTGTGGTCAAATCGGATGGATCCACTCATCTACGATACCGGAATGGTCCCACATTTTCATCCATTTACTTGACATTAAAATCAATATAAAATCTGTTACTTGTCCACCCTAAATTGTGTCAACGCAAAAATTTATATTCACCAGTAAAATGCATTGAATTTTTAAATCCTCAATTGTCTGACATAGATGAATGGAATTGTTATTATTGTTGTTATTGCGTATATCCAAGCAGAAAATATAGGTTTTCCAAAAATTAAATATAGATTTGTAAAAGTGCTTGCTCGAGCATCCCCTATATTACTTACCTATAATAAAATTATAAATTCCATTGAGCCTAAATGTATGCAAGTAAATTTGAGCATTATGTGTATTACATATTCACGACCACAGATTTGAACGAAAAAACTATTTTTAAATGCAATCGCACTGTAGTGTAGGTCTTTGCAGATTCAACTTTTAACAGAATTTATCCAAATATCCTAATCATTATCATCTAATGATTCCGATATACCTAATATATATGCATATGTGTGACCTGCAAGCAACACGCCACTGCATCACTCTTCCCTTTAGAGCTCTGTGGAAACAGATAGCTTTCTGCTGATAAACTAAACTCTCTTACAACTAAATTATTAATTTACCAATATTTTTATTGGAACTGTTGTACGCAAAAAAATTCCTAGTCAGCTTTACACGTAGTATAATAAATTTGCTTGGCATGCTGGCAATCGCACGACATTGAACGTTTGCTCCACAAAAAAAAAAAACACATTCCACAGCAATCTTTAACTCGCTTTTAGAACTTTTAATGTGCTCTGGCTCATCGCGTAGCTGTTAACAGTCCCTCGCATTTGTCCGCAAACACAACAACATATTTTATACAATATTTATTACAATACATAATTTTTTGTTTCATTCAAACCGTTATATTTATATTAAAAATAATGATATCTCGCAGCTACAAAAATTATGTATTTAATTTTAAATAAATTGCAATAGTTAAATTAATAAACCTAAATAGTGAAAAATTATCAAAACCAAAAAAAAATAATAAAAAAAAAAAAAATTTTTTTTTTTTATATCTGTATTTACTCCCAATTTAATGAGTAACTGACTAACGCTAGGAAAAAAAAAAAACAAAAAGGATTTTGTTTTGTGATAGCAAATGCGCGTGTGGCTAAGTATTCATATGTTTCGTATGTATGTATATTTGTAAGCATTGTAGTAGAAGTCGCTGTGTAGTTTGTTTTTGGTGTATAATTGGCATTTCTTATTGGTATGTTTTAAGCGGCATATGGAAATAGTTAAAATATTTTTCGTGTTTTATTTTTTTTTGTTTAATTTATTTTTATCTCAGTTAAGCACACCAGTAAACAAACACAACTCACTTTCAAAATGTTATACTAAAGTTCCTCATTCATTTATGATTTTATAAAATTTAAGAACAGCTTAAAATGATGTATTTTTGTTTTTTCTTTTGTTTTAGAAGGTAGATATATATATATATATATATATTAAATTTTTTATTACAGAAAGAACGAAATCTATTAAAAAAAACTTCATCCACCAACGAGATTATTGAATGCAAATTACTGGTAAATAAACCCAGCAATTAGGATCGCTTGTCTCACACACTTTTTCTGCAACGCTCTCAAGTAAGCACACAATTTGCAGTTTGTTTGTTTGTAATAGAAGTTCTTATGCAGAGAAATTATACAAATTATACTAAATATGTTTGTTCTTGTTTAACTGTTGTTTTCTTAAATTTCAAATTTTTTATTTTGTTTTTGCTTTTGATTAGGTATAGAATTACACCATTGTCGCTTTGCTTTGCTATATAAACCAAATCGGAGTGCGAAGCACGTGTGAAGGAACGAGTGAATCGTCCATCATCACATATTTTTTACATTTTTTAAGTGTTTTTCCTTTTGATGATTTATGTCCTACGCAAAATGTATGGTTGTATGTGTAGTAGTAGTATGTTGGGGAGGGGGGCGTTCTGTCTGACTTTGCGAATAATTTCGTGAAAGAATACTTTTACTCACACACTCATCTTTTAATTGCGCTAAAACTTGCTAGCATTAGGGTGTGTGGAGCACAAAATTTGAAAATTATCGAATGGAATAATGAAAAATATTTGTATGCCTTTTCGTAACCATCCCATTTGGCGCACACATACATAATCACATGTACACTTC